CTCAGTGCTTGGAAGTTTACACCCGACAGGTGATGCTGCTGATTTTTTAGTGCAACCCTGAATGACTTACTGACAACAGTACTGACCTCTTACGTTCTGTTCACACGAAGCCTTTTCTGTGCCAAGTGGATCAGATCTGATACCGAAATGGACCACTTCTGTTCACACGGGACCGCTTCTTTTCATGAGCAGTCTGTTTACACGGAACCTTTCTGCTGTTGTCCGCTTTTGGAGGCTCAGGTGGAAACAAGAACAGGTCCTCGACGACATCGGATTGTTTACACGTACAAAAAGGCAGAGTACTTAATAGGAGTCCTGCGTCCTTGTACAAGACCGTTTACATGTTATTGTTGTTGTCGTTTTTCTCCTTTTGAGATCAGCAGCCCAAAAATGTTGTAGACCTGTACCGAAGAATGGACAAGCGTTTACACATTAAAAAAAGGAAACAAAAATGCGCTACGGAACCGATTGTATCCGGCCTAAAAGTCCCGTTTACACGAGCGAAACGGAACGTTACGGCTCGAAAAAAAAAACGATACTTGACCGTTTGAATCTACATTGTAGTCTCCCACGCAGCCGTTTCTGTCTCGTCGCGCAACGCTTCTCCTCAAGAAATGGCTGCTTACATTCGAACTGTTGGGTAGGAGCGCTGCGCGACGAGACTAAAACGGCTGCGAAGGAGACAAGTTTGAATGTTACCCGGTTCGTTCCTAAAAAAGTCCATAGCTTGGCACATTTTGTCCTCTAAGATCGGTTCCGTACGTGCAGTTTTCTTTTCTTTTCTTTCCAACGTGTAAACACTCGGCCTTTTTAAGGTACCGATCTTTAGTTACGTGGAGTCTGGAAAGATAACAACAACAACAACGTGTAAACGGTCTTGCACCTGTTCCCCAGGGATGTTACGTACCTTGGCTGTGTTTTCTCGGGTGTAATCACTGACAAAACCTGTAGGTGTAAAAACAACCAGTATTCATTGAGAACCGGTACTTGTTTCTACCGGAGCCGTTCGGTCTCTTATGAGCCTCTTTTATTTGCACCAGTTAAGATAAAATTGGACGGTGTGTTATTGCCAGTCGTGAATGAGAAATTACGGTCTTTTCACCTACTTCCTTGTTTTCCTGGTGCTCAGTTCGTGGTGAAAACGTTTTAAAACGAGGAATAAATAACCTTTTGTCTATCCTGGCGACATCTTTAACTACAGAAGCAGTAGTAAGTTATGGAGGGGTTGACACGTTATGTGAAGTGACATTTTACATTCGCGTGTGCTTAGTGCTCTTCCTGTACATATAAGAGACTTGAACGTTCTAAGACAAGAGAACGACTGCGAGTAGGAGATTTTTTCAATAGAGAGATTAAGCATCGCGCTTACGGCAAACAGCAAAGGTGAGATTCAAGTGGAGAAATTTTCAAAATGAGAAATGAGCAGATAAAAACAGCTTAAAACAGTTCTCATAAATAGAATTGGCGCGAATCTGTCGATTTTCGTGTAGTTATAGTTACAGTAAACGACAGGTGAATGGAAATCTTGGTCTTGTGGTTCAAATTCACGTTTGCCGTTTGTCGTAAACGTGATGCTAACCTTTCTATTACTAAGTAGTTGGTGCGCGTGAACCAGCGTCATTTTGGCGGGAAACGTGGTAGCCTTCGTCATTCTACTAAGAGGTTTAGCAAAAATGTCGTAGTGGCGAAAACAAGTTATCACAAATGTTAGAACTTTTGTTATTTTGCTTTCGGGAGAGGGCTTAACCTTCCTCAACAAAAACTAATAATCTTGCTAACTTTTCCTGTGAAAAAAAGTACATTGAAAAGTTTTCTGGGGTGTCAATTTTACAATAATACGCGAAAAAACTTGAAGTTAAATCTCGTCCTCGTTCAGTCGTTCGTAGGCGTCCTCGTCCTCGTCCTTGAATCTAGTCTCGAGGAAGGAGTACGGGATCATTTCCTGAACAGCGGTTGGCAATCGAGCCTACCTGAAGGTCTGTATTTAACCGTTTCGCTCCTACAGTGAGTGATGGAGTATTGAAGGAGGTTTTAAGTTATCAGCATATAATTTA